AAATCACATGATAGCCTCAAAAAGGAATATCAGGAGCTTCGGAAGTCAAATGCAACGCTTGCAATTTCTCATGAGCAACTTCGAACATCTCATGATAATCTCAGGATCACTCATCAGCAGGAAGTCACTCGACACCAGAAGTCACAGGAAGAGAATGAGAACAGATTACAACAAGTTAATCAAAGATTAGTTCAAGCACAGACAGAACTAGCAGCAAAACAAAACGAAGTGACCAAATTACAAAGTATGCTGCAAAAATTGGAAAATAATTGGAAGGTGAACCATAAAGAACTATATCTCACAAATAATGAGCTAGGCAGAGGAGGCTGGGGTGTGATCTGGGTTGGAAAGTTCAGAGGACAAAGAGTAGCTGTGAAGCAGATGCATGATGTCATTAAAAGTGAAGATAATATGAAGCTCCTTCATAGAGAGATGAATACAATGTCTCAGTTGCGTCATCCTAATCTCCTCCAGTTTATAGGAGCTGTATTAGACCATCCATCAGGTAATCCTATGATTATCACTGAAGTAATGGATACCTCATTACGGAGTGCCTATGAGAGGAAGGAGCTTACTACTGATCCTGGCTGTAGACCAGTGATTCTATCTATAATGCGTGATGTAGCTGTGGGTTTAAACTACCTACACTGTCTACCTGATCCTATTATTCATCGTGATGTCAGCAGTGCTAATGTACTACTGGAATCAAAGGGACACAACAAATGGAAGACTAAGATATCCGACTTTGGATCTGCTAATTTAGCTCAAGCAGCAGTCACTGAAGCAACAGGAGCAGCTGTCTATAGTGCTCCCGAAAGTATCGCAACACTTCATAGGAGAACAAGAAAGCAAACAACAAAGATGGATTCCTATAGCTATGGCGTTCTCTTATGCGAAATGATAACATGCCATTTTCCAAACGCAGAAAAGTTTGAGACTGTCAAAGTCAGCTCACGCCCGATTGCATGAACTCATAATTTCATGTATTAATGAAGAACCAGACAAACGACCAACAATGTCTGAAATAATTATCAAATTGGATCATTGTATTGCTAATAAGTAGCACTGACTGTTTCCAATTACACATGCAAGTACTTTTACAATAATTGTTAAGCACAATTTAGACTTTATTATTTCTTTTCTATTCGTTTGCTTTTTCTACTATTATTTTAAAATGGTACTATTATTGTACTTTTGTTTGCTTTTTCTTAAAATGCTATTCTATTTTAACTTTTACAGCTAAAGGGCATCATAACGACATTCATAGTTTCCAGTTTATTCTAAGTTATAAATAATTGTCTCCTTTCTTTAGAAGAGAGGTTGTGAGGTTGTGAGTCTCGCTAGCCAGACCATTCCCCAGCCTACAGTCATTTGGGTGGACGCCACCAAATGACTGTAGGCTGGGGAATGGTCTGGCTAGCGAGACTAAGTTGTGACAGTGTTGAGCAGAAGGAAAGAGTAAAAACTAATGACTTCAACTACAGTGGACTGTACTTTTACAAGCTCTTCCGAGGCTTCAGAACCTTCTTCAAGATATTACTCTCTTTTTAAACCAGGGGACCGGGTTGTGGTCCAATCTGCTGTAAAAGGAGAAGCATTCTACGGGACAGCAAGATGGACGGGCCCGATCAGGAAGGCTCACTTAGGAGATGCTATACCAGTCGTTGGAGTAGAGATAGTGAGTTTTGATAGAGACAGAGAGGGGGGAAGATGTAGTAATGTATTGTACATGTGGTTGATTGTATGTGATTGCTGAAAGGGTGAGAGAGAGAGAAAGGGCTGTCATGTTTTAAATTAGAAATCTATTTTTAGAACACAATTCGAATTATTAGCAGCTGTGTGCGTAGGCGACCAATCGCCATAGACTACTTATCAATTTGCGTTGTAGTGGGTGGGCATTACTTGGTAGCAGCTAGAGTAGATAATATTAATTTACGATGAATTTATAAAATAACGCCAAGTCTGACAAGTGCTTTCTCATGAATTCATTTTGTTCTGTTTTTAGGACAAGAAGATAAAACTAGACAAGCATTTCCCGGACCTTCATATGGACTTGACGGAAGGTCAAACTCTCTTCAAGGTTCCCTTTCACCACACGAGGGTATTCCTTCCTGAGCAGCTGGTAGTACACGCTGAAGACTTTGAGGTCCAACACCAAAAGGAGATCATTACACAATATGAGGTCCTTCAGGCGGCAAAAGAGTTCAACCTAACAGCTGAAGAGTATCAGTACCAGCAAGTGATACTGGATAATTGTAAATCAGACTCTAAACTGACGAAGGGTACCTCATTTGATAGCAAGGACTCAGGCTGTAGTCTCACATCTGACAAGCTGAGGAGTCTCTCCATCAATTCTCCTCTTTCTCCTGGTGACTGTCAGCTCAGTGTGGGATCAATGGTATCCATAGAAGACAGTAATTCTGTCCTTTATGGCGTCATTCAATGGATTGGCTCACTACCTGGTTGTACTGATGCCTTGATGGCTGGAATTGAATTGGTAAACACACACACACACACGCATACCTACCACATACAAACTATTGGAGAGTAAATATGTATCTGTAATGTTACAACTCTACCTTTAGCTGTTGTTTGTAATTGTAGTTGTTATGTTAGCTAATTAGTAATGGATGCTATTGAACTGTTAGTCTACATACAGTATACTTTAGTGTCAGTGGTGGGGTCTATTGATAATTCCATTTGTAAGTACAGTCTATGTCCTGATCTGAGACATTTGGAAAACTTTTTTTCAATTTCTAAGACTGACAATAATAGACTTTATGACATGTAGAAAGTTTGAGCCAATTTCCACATGAAATTTTTTAATTATGGCCATCTAAAGAAATGGGTCAATTTCTGAAAAATCCCTATACTATAGCCCATGGTTTTTTCCAAAAAATGGCTCCGAAATCATTCCTAATTTTTATTGCATTTTCTGATACATATTGATATCCTTATGCTTTGTAGAAAGTTTGAACCAATTCTGACAAAAAATTTTAAAGTTACAGCCATTTTAAAAAATGGGTCAATTTCTGAAAAATTCCCTGTACTATAGCCCATGGTTTTTTCCAAAAATTGGCTCCAAAATTACCCCCAATTTTTATTACACTTTCTGATACATATTGATGTCCTTAGACTACGTTGAAAGTTTGAGTTGGAATTAAGACGGACAGTTATGTACATGTAGATATACATGAAAAGTTTATGTATCACTGACCTTTTAACTAACTCTGAAACACATTCAGCTATAAACACTAATATTCTCTATTATAATAATAAATACAGTATACATGTAGATTCATATACATTATAACAATTATCAACTTTAAAGACCTACAATCAATCACTGCTATCATAAAACTGACATAATAATAATTCTATAATACAATTATTGTTGTCATTATTTATTTATTTCTTTTACTCCAGATATGAGGTTCACTCCAGTTACAATAGGTTGTGTACTGGTCAGTTCAATAGCTGGACCCATCACCTGGTATCTATGGATACACACTGGAAGTGCTAATGCTAACTTCTTCTTTGCTTTAACATTAACTTATTGTATTAGTCAAATATTCTTATTGCTTGATGTGTGTCACTCATACCTCACTCATCAGTATGATATGACCAATGGATTACCTAGGACTAGTAATAAACTAGGAACTGGTCATGTACTGTTGAAATTACAATAATTGATCATTGTCATAATGAATTTTGATTTGTTTTACAATAATTAGCTAACTAGAGTTGTTTCAGTCACACCTCTTCTCGCACCTCTTTCAATCATGGCTGCGAATTGGGCGAGAAGCTCGGGGAGAAGTAGTATTTCTGTCTCGATTTTACTGAAAGATAAGGCTGGCTTTCATTTTAAAGATGATGGAGGTGCTCCATGGCAGTGTACAGTACCTAAAGGAGAACTTGTGATTGAACAACCGAAGGAAGAGATACCTTCAATTGAGAGTGACAAGCTTCCACCAAATTATCGTTTGTATAGAGATGATGAATACGTTGTTTTACACTGTAGGGCTATGGATGTATGTCCATTAGGTGACAGAGAAATGGAGTATTTATTAGCAGTGGAGTCTCTCAGCACACGATTGCAGGAATATCTCAAACCAGAGGAGGTGAAGAAGGAGAAACTGGATTTAGTCGTTGGTGATATGGTGATGTTTAAATTGAAAGTGAAACCTGATGCTTTTGTTTCCATTGTCAAAGGTGTAATACGTTACATTGGTCCTATACAAGAAAAGCATGGGACACACTTTGGTATTGAAATACAAGTAAGTAATCATACATACCATTAGATCATAGTGTACATGTACTCTATATATTTGTTATTATTAGGAAGAGAGATATCGTGGTAAAGGTACCAGTAATGGTGATCCATATTTCTGTTGTGGATCCAAAGATGCTGTCTTTGTATCTATGAATATGATAACAAAGAAATCTCAATATCCTATGGATGAGAAACATGCTCTTGCTAAAAGTGCTATTACGGGTCAGCCAATAAGTAAAAATCGAAATGGTGGTAGCTCAGACATTTCCCAAGGGCCATTTTATGCAAGAACAGATCCTAATCATAAGTCAAAGTTTAAAATTAATGATCGTGTGGTTGTGAAGTCAGCCAAAGATGAAGTGTTTAATGGTACTGTAAAGTGGGTGGGGACAACTAGAGTTTTTAATGAAGGGAACAGGTACTCATCTGTTGTTGCTGCTGTTGGAGTTGACGTGGTAAGTGAGATACATGTATTTATAATGGCTATTATACATTTATGTAGGAGAAGGCATTTTTATCTACTGATAAGCATTTCCCTGGTATGTATATTGACGTTACTGGCAGTCGTGGTCAGGAACTTTTTAAAGTTCCTTTATCTCACACTCGTTTATTTTTTCCTGAGGAATATGGTGTCGTACTTCATGCTGAGGAATATGCTAAACAGCAACAAGAAGCTAATGCTCTTAAGTGGGAAATGAAAGAAGCTAAGAAATTTGGTTTAAGTTTAGAAGAATATCAATCTCAGAGAGAATATCTTGAGAAAGCTAACAAGGACAAGAAGACACATCATCCCCAGCAAACAGGAGGGGGGCAGGAAGAGGAAGGAGCTGTTGCTGGAGTTGGAGCTTTTAAGAAAAATGAAAATGAAAAGGATAAGATGTCAGAGTCCATGATGCACATTAAACCTGGTGTGTCACTCAGTGAAGGAAGAAGACAACAAGAAGAACGAGCATTTCAACTAGCAAGACAACGGAGTCAACATGGTGGTGGTGATCAAACTGGATTTGAAGTTATTAAAGGAGAAGTTAAGCCTGTAGGCGAAGGTCATCAACAAAGTGTCAATCCTGTTCCTGAAGGATTACAAAGACCATCACCAAAAGCTCATCATGAAGCAGGATACACCAGCCTCTCTTCATCTGATAGTAAGTATTATCAGCGACACTCTCCTGGTACTAATCAATATTCTCCTGATCCTGCTGGCCAACATGATGATCGTCACAGTTATTTACCTGGTGGTTCTTCTGACAACTACCAACCTGGTGGTTCTTCTAACCAGTATTCATCTGGTGGTCCCCCTCCTGATCCTTATCATCAGTTCACTATTGGGTCAATGGTGTATATTGATACTCAAAAAGGTGATCCATTGTATGGTGTAGTACAGTGGATAGGGACACTACCTGATTTCCCTGGAACAATAGCTGGAGTGGAATTAGTAACTAGTATTGTTAATTGACAATGTGTTTATAATTTTATTAGGAGAAAACAATGAATGGTGGTACTGATGGTACATGGCGTGGAAGAAGATTCTTTACTTGTCCTCCTGGTAAAGCTTACTTCTGTCCAGTGAATACTCTCAAACAAGACACAAGATATATGGATGAAGGACAAGTACCAGCACATATGAGACAAGATATTGATAACCGTATGTTAATACAGTTTAAATGCATTTTGTGCAAATTCTAAAAATTAATGTTAAATTAAGGACATACACTCATTATCTCTTTTTCATTATTAGTAATGTGGTAGCGTTACTAAATAGGATTTGCCCCACTTCAAAATTGCTGCCACGACTTTTGCAGCCTTGCTATATTGAAATAGAAATTTTAATTTTCATTTTTAGTGATTAAAGGT